GCCCTTGAACAACTGAGGGTATGATGCTCAAAGAGGGGATACTCAAAATCCCCCAGGTGCCTGTGGCAGGTAGAGGACAATGAATCTTTGATTGTCAAATCTAACTTCCTAACCTAAGCACTGTTCTTTCATCCAGAATGCATCCCTTGCATTCCTACACTGATGATGAGATTAGACCCAAAACTATGTCCACCTTGAAAGTGGTTTTGTTATTCCATGGGCCAGAGGAATATTCCAGAAGAGCAAATCAGTATTTATAGAAGAAATTCCACCCATGTCCAACGATACACAAGCACTTGACAGGATCTGATTTTGAAATCATGGATCACAAAAGTTATCTCTCCTGGTTACAAGATCATCCGTGGTGAATGCAATGTTGAAAAGTGTTCTGCTTCTGTTATTTGGAAATCCTTAGAAAGTGGATTTTAGAGTGCAAGGCCACGTGCCTTGGCCTGCACAGGTGATGTCTGTGTGGTGCAGGCTGACTCCTCTTGTCTTCTGTTTTGCAGTAATACTGAAAAATAGGATGGCTTTGTCTTTAAACACTTTTGGAAGTGGCTGTAGGGTATTTTTATGAGCAGTTTTATGGTTTGAATGGATAAACAGACAGAGGAAAGGGTACAAGGCTGATTTTTGTGGTTGATTGAACAGCTGATATTTTGATCTTTGCCTAAATTTCACGCTTAAGAATTCTCTAATGGTGACTTGAAATTTCTGCTTGGCTCCACGATCTGTGGCAGCCTTAGAGAGCAAAGTTCCTTGTCCATGGGTTGTGTACTAAAAAAGCAAAGCACAGACTTTTTCCCCCCATCTGTTACAAGAGCAAGCCATGAACTGGAAAAGAGCATTTTTGCATTAAAAGAGAAGCCACTAAAAGATGGTCCTTCTCTGGAAAGATCAAGGAGTTGTGCAGGTTAGTGAGGGAGAGAACAAAGCCAGGTTTTATCCAACAGTGCAATTCTCTTTATAAAAATAGGGGTTTTTCCATTTTTTTTAGAAGGCACAGTAAAGCTTGATGGGCTCTCACTTCTATCCAGGGTTGGATTGGCCCTAACAACCTGTTTCCAAAGAGTTTTAGGCACCAAAAAAAAGAGCTAAACAGTGTCTTTAGGCTTCCCATTGAAATGTTAGTGTCTTATCTCTGGAAATTTCAGATCCAAACATCTTTCAAAGACACTACTAAACCATCATGGCTTGATTGCCATAACTGGTGTGGAACAGAACTCCCAACATCCGGAGGCTGAAGCGAGATTTCTATGGAAGTGCTTACGTCTGTTGGGTGCCTGTGTAAATATAGGTCTTTGCCTACGCATGTACTGTCTGAAATTCTATATATATGTATCTCAAATGGTTCCAGCATTGCTTTTTAAAAGACCACAAATACTTGAGCAACGTGCACAATATAAAGCCTCTTTTACTGTACCGGGAAAGTCGCTGCACTCAACTAAATTTGCTGTAACATTATAAATTTTTCCATGCACTTGAGCTCTCTGATTAGCAAAAATAAGGCAGCTTTTGTAAGGAAAATGTGATACAGACCTCAAATACGTTTCTGAAGTCACTGTACTTCGTCAAAGTGTATAACCTAATTTTGATCTGTATTGATAAGCTTCAGTTGTCATGGAGATCAGCAGGATAGGGAACATCCAGTGCCTGAGGCCATGCATCTTTACCAATTACCCATGGATGTGGGTGCAGCATCTTTTAGCAGAGCAGCTCACTTGCTTACTGGGAAAGATAATGGCTTTGGGAGTTGAGAAAAATTTTCCAAAGATTCAAATTGAAAATTAACTTTGGAATATCCAAATTAGACCACTCAGGCTGTTTGCCCTTTCCCTCCCACGTTGCTCATATTCTGCTGGTTTGAAGTCACTGTTAGACTGAAAGGGACAGATCTGAAAATTTGTTTTTTCCCTCAATCAGTTTGCACCTCTGAGTCTTTGAATCAGTTGCTTAGTGTAAAGATAAAGGTGGAGTTGAAGCAACTGGTCGTGCCTCAGTTGTTGTGAGAGTGCAGGGAATGGGGAGTAATTCTGACATCTCTGATCTTGAACGTGCTTTCAATTTACACCAAAGCTTGATGCGCACCAGCACCTGTGGTCTTCCATTTAGTTTTTGCTGCCATTCACATTTTTGCCTCTATCATATGAGAAGAAAAGGAGTTTACATTCCCCTCAAGGTCTCTGCTTCTCCCTGGCATTGATCTATTGTGTCTCACTTCAGCAGTTGGCAGGTTTCACATCCAGGGGGTTTAGTTCTACATCTGAGGAGTTATTAGGATGTACTCCATGCAAGGACATAGCCTGAGGTATGGAAGGGACAAGAAAGATGGTGCTGTCCCAGTGCACATGGTCTTTTGATCTGGACAGATGACCTTCTTGTGAGGCTCTTGTAACTAACACTGTGTGTAAAAGGAAGTGTGTGGTGCAAAGTAATCAGTTAATTTTCCAGGAACAAACTTTTCCCGCCTTGGAGAGTACAAGTACACCCTCAAAGGCCACCAGTTTACAGCGGTTTAATATTGAATTAAGTCTCAGTGAAGGTGGCTTAATCAAATGTAAACCACCTCAAGACAGGACCAACTCAAAGTTGTGCCTAAGGTTCACATCACAGCCTTCGTACCTCATTTGCTGCCCACCTGTATCATTACTGAGAGATTTCCAAGCTGAAATTCCTCTTTATATTTCCAATGAAAACACTGCAGTTGTTCAGCTGATTAAATGTCTGCAAGCCCAGGCTTTTTCAACAAAGGCAGTGCTCTCTTTTTTTCATTAAAGAGGGTTGTAGAGATGGTTTATAACTTGAATCCTCGCCTGCAGCAATCTCGTGTGATATGTAAGGCAGGTGAGTCAAAACAGTGTAACTGAAGCTTCAGAGCTGCAAATTATATAAACTCAGTGTAGTTATACCAATACTGAGCTGACAGGACCAAAACCTGTCTTCAGTGCCTAAAAACCCACTTCTTGTGGCAGACTGTGACAATAAATCCTCTGTGGGTTTGGCTGGTTTGTTTTGTTTTGAGGACAACGAGCTAAATCACATCCTCAGATATTTATGTCTGTGTTTGGACGTGCACATTCTTCATTCCAAACAGTAAAGCTACATTCAAAACCACTTAAGAATCTCATTTCCCGTGGTACATTTTTCTCATTAAACATTCTATTGTCTGCTGCACCACATTTTCGTTACTGCACTTCCAGCAGGATTATTCCACGGTGCATGACACGTATCTGTGGAATGGGAATAACCCAGCTTGGTAAAACAGGACCTCCAGAGTTACTGCAGAGGAAGGATCAGGGCATGTAACCTTGAAGCTACAGTTCATTTAAAGACTGGTTTTCATGGAAATATTCTGCTCTCCGCTTCCAACTTTATTCTCTAGAGCAAATATTAAACTTTATCTCTTCATTATTTGATCTCTGGGTGTAGCAATGGCTTTTGTCATCCTTTAATGTCCACGCTGTAGAAGTTAGAAAAGCCAAGAATGAACAGTGTAGACATGATTTTTGGCTCTCTTTGACCGTTCTGTTTCATCTTCAAGCCTCAGATCTGCTCAAAGGTCAGATTTTTTTGGACAAAAACTTCTTGTCCAGGTTCATATTGGTTAAACATCCATTTTCAGCCAGAGCATTAATCTGCAAGCAGTAATTCAGCTTCAGCCTCCAAGTTTGGTGGTGGTAGCAGTGAAAAGTAGAGCTCTGGGTAACAAGGCTGAGAATTTTGGATTTCTTTTCAACTAAAGACTAGAGAAACAGTTTCCTTTTTTTTCTTTTTTTCATGAAGAGCACAACAGTGGTTGTATTTTTAGCAAGGCAGCACAGGATCCACAGGGTTTAATAAGATAATGGTGCTGGGCTCCTTCCATAGTCACTAGAGATCTTCTCAGTCCAGAGAATTAAACCCTTAGTACAACTTATTTCATTTTTAAAAAAGATGTTTAAAACAGGTCAGGTAAATCTCAATTTATGGTCTGTTTCTCACCACTTACTGCAAAGCTGGCATGGGCTAATAAGGTGAAAAGCAGCCAGTTATATTGTTAACTCCAAAAATTAGGTGAGATGGAACTAAATGACAATTTTGCTGAGAAGCTTATTCTGTGTGTGGATGAGGGGGATCGATGACTCAACCTACACATGGTGGGTCAGACCTGCAGTCACTGCAGTGGGATGGAATTGTGCAGTCTGTTTCCTGCTCACAGAACAAGTTCAGTTTTCCAAACTCTACATCTGATCTGTAAGTCCAGAGGGTTTGTGAATGTGGTTTGTGTATTGACCAGGAAAGAAGTCCATCTTCAGGAATTCCTCAGCTACCGAGTAGCAATGGGGAGTCCCCCGACCTATAGCAGTGTCAGCTGAGGGCAAAAGTAGGTACGTGGGATAAACTATAGATTATATGGGTCCAATTTTCAGTTTTCTCCTCTCTCTTCATACAATCTTTCTACTCTCCCTTTGGTTAACTTTTTACTGTATTTTCAATACTTTATTTCATTGATTTGTTTCTACATTCCTTCTCCTCCTACTACATGGTGGCCAATCCTGTTCATAGTGAGGTTACGCAGAATGACCCAAGCAGGGGTGCACAAAGATCCTTAATGAGGCACAGTTTTTATTTGCATGACTCAAATTCTACCTTTACTGTGTTTCCCAAAGGATTCCCTATCAGCATATTCAGAGACAAGCCACAAATTCTGTCATTCCCTGCGTGTCGGTAGAGACCTCACTTCAGAACCCTGACCATTTTCATCATGGATAATGCAGCGTAACTTCATTCCCCTGGGTCAGCATGTTCATTTTATTTCCCTTAAGTCCCTCTGAGAAACCCACAAAGCCTTTAGAACCGAATTGCAACTATTTTTGCCTCCAGTTTGTGCACTCTCTCATTTGCATTAACGTGCCGGGCCGTCAAGGTGTTCAAGTCTGATAAGGTGGCCTTCAGCCACATCGTACATCACTCATTGAATCCTGGGAATGTTTAACTTTTTCTTTCCCCTTCCACCCTAGCACCCTCCCTCTTCCTCCCAGATGCAGCTGCAGTCCATGCCCAGGACACGTGCGGTGAGACTCAGCTTGTTTGCCTTTAGCTGTCTCAAGTCTCGTATTTAATCTGAGCAGTCCAGTCGTCGTCTTATGGTCAAAGTGGGAGCCCCAGGGCACCCCTGTCAGACACTGCGCCCCGTGTGTCTCAAAGGCCTCTGTCACACGGGTCAGCTCAGCCTGGAAGTCCCTGTTCTTTCCATGACTGAGTGACTCCAAGGTGATAGCTCAGTTTAAGTTTGTCTCCGAACACGTAGAGTTAGACGTGACCAAATCCGTTCTGTGTGTGCCCACAGAGGTCTGAGGATCCTACCCTGATTCATGTAGTGTTTTGGTATCCATTATCTCATTTTCTATTAATTTTCTCTTATTTGTCTGATTTTTCCTCCTTCACATTCCTTTCTGGTTCCTGCCTCCTCTGTCTCTTCTCTCTTTCTCCCTTTCCTTCCACCAATGTCTCTATTTTGATAATAAATAAATAAAGTTTATTTATAAAGGAAGGAAACAAAACTTCTACAAAATCTGTACTCTAAGGATTTTGGGACACTTTACAATATTTAACATCAGAGAGATGATTATACCTCAATTAGAAAGGATGGAAATAAAAAAAACATTTACTCTCCTAAGAAGTGCTCACAGTTTTTCATCACAAACCTGTGTGGAAATGCCCCCTCCTCGGGTGGGAAACAGCACTTAATTTTTAGATATTACTTTCAAAATCAAGTCTGTCTTATTTGATAATTTTAGCAAATACCAAGTCCTGTCATGTTGGTCTGTTCACTAGAAAAAATTCTTTAAAAAATCAGTCCCTGTCAAATAAAACAGGGCACAAGCAGTAAACATGGGGGGGAGGGAAATTTTTTTCCAGATTTCCATGGCAACATTAAGTATATAACTGAAGAACACAAATCCCTACAACACCCCCTGATTAAGAGTTTTAAAAGTCATGATTGATTTTTAGACGCTTCATTTTCAGGTTCTGTGCCTGGAAATGCCTTCACAAGTGCTCCTTCTCAACAAAGGCTGAGCAGCCCTCTTGTGGTAAAAATTGGTCTGAGAAAATGTGTTTCAGAACAATCAGGTGATAAAAAAAAATAAGTGAGACACTCAAAATCCATAATCACTTCAGAAATTCTCAGTCGTAGTAAAATTGAATTAACTCTAAAATTCCCTCCTTGGTTTTGATCAGTTTTAACTGACAATTAATCCCCAACTTAAGTCTGTAAAAAAACAGAGGTGGTTCAGAAATTTATCACAGAAGTGATGCTGTAAAAGGAACAGTCATTTTCATATTTACTTCCTGAGCATCATCCAAGAACTGAATTCATTTTACAAGTTGAAACATGATTACTATTCCTATTTGCTAGATGTATGCATGCCACAAATACTGTATGATTTCCAGCTTTTATACAATAATATTTAAGAGCAACACGGTTTTCAGGCTTTGATTACCTGAAAAGAAACAAAAAACCCCCCTCTAGTAACAAGGATTGACTTAAAGGAGTAAAAAAGTGGGGAGAAATTGAGTATATTTTCAACTTATTCTGTTTTACTGTTCAGCTTACAAGCTCCATCTTCCATCTGTGCTTAGATGACCACAAATCTTAGATTGTGCCTTTTAGCAGAGCAAGAGGGACAGAGTTTGGTTTGTTGGAACAAAATTAGATGTTTGCCTTGAAGGCAATTGCTTTAAAATTCATCATATTGTCCTTTATATTTACTGGAGATTAGTCAGGGTACTCAGTGGTGTTTGGAGTGCTGTTCATCCCATCCTAAAGTGGACATCTAAAATAGTTCGGATATACTGGCCAACAACTGTATTTCTCTCTCAACTACTTATTCTCTCTGATGATTCTCAAAGGACAAAGATTTCCAGTTTACTCAGATATTTACACTGTAAACATCCAATCTTCCCTGAGGTGAATCCCACCAAAACAACCATGTGTTGGAAGCAAAACCAAAAATCTCCCCTTTAGGGTCAACGAGAAACCGCTATTTTCAATTTTCGTGTTTTTCAGCCCATTGTATCAGTCATAAAATCTCTTACAAGATCCCTCCAAATGCCTTCCCGTGTTTCAGATTACCCTTGTTGGTGGCTGATTTAAATTAGCCCCTCTCTGGCTGGTTGTAAATGTGACCATCCCATTCCCCACAGCAGCTCTTTCTGGGATACGACACGTAGAGATCACGGTTCTAGTTACACAGTTTATGGACCTGCTGCTTTTGTGGCCACACTGTCTTAGTGTGTGTGACAAAAAATAGGTGGTACATCCAAATAGCTCACCAGACTTGCAGTTTCCACACTGAACTCCCTCCCCACCGTCAAGGAAGGTGGGTGAGAAATTGCTTTGGTGTCCTTACCAGTACCCTTTGCTAAAAAGAAGGGATCCACACACCCTGGGTGCTCACACACGAAAACGAGGAACATCTGATCCAACTTCATCTCAGGCTGACCACCATCCTACAAGTTTATGTTCCTACCTGACTGTTCTCCACAAGCATGCAGTCGACTTCCATCGAATATATTGTTCTGTGACCCTCTGTACAACCTCCAGGCTGCAAAAGTCATGTATATTTTGGGTGCCTAACGCTGCCTTCAGGTCGTTCAATTCTTGGCTTGTCCGTGAACCAACACATTAAATCGCCAGCAAAAGCCAGTGCATTTTTGATTTATATTTTTAATTTACATTTTTGCTTCAGTCAAGCAGCTGGTTTGTGCTGTAGCTCCGTTCTGTGGTGTCTGCTTTCCATCTTTGTGACGTGTCTCATGAAATGTGTTGTGAGTGACCTACCTTGGCCTGTTCACGAGATGCTGAAAAAAAAAAAATTGCTAATCTTGTCATATTTAGCAGCTGCGTTCAGAAATGCTACTGTAAGCCTAAGAGGGCTAACCAGCACTCTTGCAAGATGTCAGAACTATCAACCATTACCCTGTAAGTGTTCACACTCCTGTGACATTACTGTGTTTGTATGAGCATGTTGCAATTAAATGAATGGATAAGAGCAGAGGGGTAGCAAGAGGAGAGCAAGCGTTCATTGAGTTCTTGTTGCATGGAGAATTTTTTTTTGTTCTTGTTCTGTGCTTTTGCTGATGCACCACAATTGAGAATTTTAAGGTTATTGGTTTTTAATTTATTTTTTTTTTTGGTACTTATGGCTGATGCTATTTATGGTTTGGGGTTAATAAATAGCTGCTCTTTATTATACAGCAAACAGGGGAGCACCTTCACGCTGAGAGGAAATGTTTCACCTGAAAGTTTGCTAGAAAAACAAGGACAAGGCAAGATTGAGTCAATCAGACTCTCAGTGGGTATAAAACATCTTTTATACGTGGGTATAAAACTCAGTGAAGTTATGTTAGTAAACACCCGAGGTGAGGAAGGGTTAAGATTGACCCAATATCAAAATAGTTTGTGTCTAGTCAGAAATCAGAATCAGAGAATCAATAAGGTCGGAAAAGACCTCCAGTTTCTTCAGATTGAAGTCATTGTCAAACACTTGTCTCTTGAGAGTGAGGCATCCAGAAGAGTGAATTAGTGCCATTCAGCCTAGAGAGTGTGAGTTAATCACATTTCCATAGTCCACCTCACCCCTTGTTTCATACAAGAAGCCCACAGATTGTCATAGATTCATAGAATCATTAAGGTTGGAAAAGACTTCCAAGATCATCTAATTTTGTTTAGGTGAGGAATATCTTTCAGAAGTCTGTTGTACAGTATGTTTCCTGATGATCTGCCTCCTGAATTTCACAGCAGTTTTACAAGTTCAAATCAGCACTCCCAGAGATGTCCTGACACGTAGACCCAGCACTCCAGGGTTTTGCTAAAGAACCCTTAGTAATTATTTTTTACACCATTAAGGAAAAAAGGTTGTTTTGTAACTTAACTACATATTTAATTATGCCTTTTTAGCTAGAAAAAAACCCATGAAAGTGAATTTTCTTAGTGATTTTACATCTCCTCAAGATACTTAAGAAACAGATGCTCAAAACATTTGATCAAAAGGTTGGCACTGTGCAAATAACAAAGACAGAGAATAAAAGAACAATTAGCATATTTATCTTCTACACTTTGAGAAGATGAAGACTAAGAGCAGTTAGGTAAAACTGGGACCTACATTTAGGAGGAGATTTAATTCACTGCTTAACTGACACCCTGATGCAGCACAGACTTCATGCTGAGCCTTTGCAGAGAAACAAATGTCATATTAAATGCAGTGTTTTAGAAAGATGGGACAGTGACAACTATCTGAGGTGAAATCCTCTACCTGGTCAATGGCAAGGAGAGTTCAGCCTAAAAAGGAGGTATTTAAATTTTTTGACGTTAAAATATGGAAGTCTCAGTAAGCTTCCCTGTTTTTCAAGTCCTTGGTCTGAAGATGTGGTTTGTGCGTGGGAAAATTAAAAAGCTCTAATCACTTGCTGTGTTTAGGTATTATCTCAGGTATTTTGGAAGTGATCCTACAGACCTAATTTTGGAAAAGGCATGTATCTGTCAGGGAGATTTTTCAGGTTCCTGAAAGTCACATTAGCTATGTTTACGATCTTTGTGATAAAATAGATACTTCAGTTTATTAAACATGAGCTATATCAAGCATTTCATCACTAATGCCAGCATGTATCCTCATGGTTTACTCTTTATCCTTCTATCTGAAATATTGTCATGATTATTTTTTTGCACATACTCACCACTGAGATGATGGATGTGCACATTTGGCCAGAAAAATCGGATTCCTCTAATCTGAACTTCACAAGTCTACAAGGCAGCAATTTATGTGGCAAACTCAGTCCAGACTCCCTTTGTGGTCAATGGGTAGATTTAGGATGTGATAAGAACTTCCTTAGGGGCGGGTGATTTGTCCTTGTGTGTAAGTGCTTCTTACTCTTCACAGGCAATGAAGGGAATGTAAATGTGGATTTAATTTAACTGAAATTAGATGTCATCATTGCAGATGTCTCATAGCATGAAGCTGGTCAATATATACATAAATAGATGCATTCAGTACATACCCATGTGGTTTACAACAGGAGTCACCTCTTCTTAAAGTGCATTTTTCTCCACATTGAATTTAGAGACATTATTTTAATAATTTCATAATCAATACCTACATTTATGTATGTCCCAACCTTGGTGAGATGAATGTTGCTTTACATGACTACAGGCCTTGACGTCTTCATTACAAAAGTTTATATTTGAGCCAAGTATTTCACTTAAGATTCAGCTTTTAAACTAAACAGCTCCCTGGCTTTAAACAGGCAGGACTAAATAGCAAAACAACTGCATAATCTTTCTTCAAATTCTGTGTTTGGAGACCTCTTGCTTCTTTGGGCAGTCTGTGATCTTTTGCCTCAAAGAACTTGGGTGGTGAGAATTTCTGAGATCAGGGGCAGCAAACTCTTTGCCAGAGTAAAAATTACTCTTAGCTTAAGAGCACCCAGTGTCATCTCAGACCTTTTGTAGGTTACAGTGGCTTTTTTGAGCTACACAACTTTGCAGTGAGTCCAACAGAAGCAGCTGCAGACGTGGCACGAGACACATCCTCAGTGCAGTGGAGATACCTGGAACTGATGGGAGAGTAACCTCTAAACTGCCATTTTCACCTCCCTCTCAGAGACAGAAAATGCAATGATAACCCCAAATTTCCTTACTCTATTCCTCCTGGAGCTCAGGTCCCCTGAGGACACATGTTTTTGATGGTCTCCATTCATTTCAAATGGCACCATCACACATCCAGCTCAGCAGTTCTTGCATCCCTTTCACCAGAGGTGGAAGAACCTATTTAGACCATTTAGAACCCGTAGGTCCTTGTTCCCTGTTGCACAGTTGATCATAATATTGTTTTTTAATCTGATGTGCAATTATTATGTTTAATCAAGCATGAATTAGTCTTCTAGAAACCTGTTTTAAAATGTGGAATAGAAACACGCTGAAATATTCAGTAGAAATAACTGGAAATTCTACTCAGCAACGCAATGTGATCTGTATTTTAATTTCAAATTCATGTCCAGTTTTGTCTTTTGTAATATCCATAGACATATTAGTGCTTTCAATAAGTGTGGATGCACAGTGGAAAACTAAAAACATGGTTCCTTCAAATACTGGTCAAAGTTAGAAAATCTTTCTACTTTCTTTTCCTATTAGTATCAAGAGATTTTTTCATAATTCAATAGAGGAGTGAGGAAAAACAGAGGACACCAATATCTGCATGTGTTTGTATCAACACTTTATGGAAAGGGCACATTCATAGCCAAACTATAGGAGAAAACCTTGTGTTAAAACTGATTTTAAGCACAATAACAGCTGAAAAATAGAATGTCAGGCTCAGCAAGAACTGAAATGCAACTTACTTTTTTTTAAATAACTTTAAGACTTTACCTGATGGAATGTAAACAAGGCTTCCACTAGACCTTCTGGAGAACACTGTCTTCTAAACAGTTTAATCCTAACTGAGTGATTATTGTCCTCAGAACTTTCAGATCCATCCCACAAGCTTCTTGCCTCTCTGAAAATATGTGGAAAGAAGAGAGGATAAATATCTTTGGCTCTTACACTCCTGAGAATTCCACTGTCTCCTTTAACATTTTCATTCCCCATAAACTTATATGTTTCACAGAAATTACTTCATCTTTTTTCTTCCTAATCTTGAAAAAAAAGAATCAATGCATCATCATCTTTACAGTCATCACTACCTCTCAATTTTTTCCCATTGTTGAAATCTGCTTTTTCTCTTTATTCATCTTAATAATCTATAAACTCCAGAATGTGTTACTTCTTAGTTTTAATGTATTTGCTTCATGACTTTCATGACAGTACTGAAGACAGCATTTCAAATAATTTGATTATGGCATTATACTTCAAGATCCTACAAACTAATTGTATGATTAATCAGGTGTAATTAGTGCCACAAAACTGACAATAGAAAAAGACTTCCTCTGCATCTTTCCCAAAATTAATCTCCCATGAGTGCAGTGAGGTAGAACACACTAATAGACAATTCTGTTCTGACTTTTAGATCAAAACAACATTTATGCTTTTGTTATTGTTAGCATTAATTCTGAATATGAAGGATAACAGATTTTGAGAGATGATACTTCTTTGTCAAGTTTACTACCTTTAATTTGATTTTCTTTTAATTCTACGGTTAGTTTAAGGCACGTTCTTTACATCTTTTTAGGTTTATAGGGATAACATTGTTCTATATACCTCCCCTCAGTGTTTGTTTTCATTTTCATGAACCATAGTACAGGTCCATAGAGAAAAAGGACTAGAAGGGACCCCAAAAACTCTTTTAGTCCATTACACTGGCTCACTCCTGTATAGATTAACTTTTCTAGAGATCACCAAAGCTGAACACTCTGTATGATCATCAACCCATTCCAAGGCTGTTCCTCTCTTTTTTAAAAAAACTTTTGGCCAGTGTCTAACTTGATAACTCACAAGAACTGTGTTCTCTGGTTTTTGGGGCCTTTCCCCAAGCCTTGAGGTTTGGTGTCCATCAGACTCATGACTCGGGTGTGTTCAGTGCAGTCTCAAGGCAAGAGTTGGGATGTGTTTATCCCTTTAGTGCCCAAAGTCTCACTGAGAGACACCAGCAATGCACTGGATGTCCCATTTACAGGTGTTGGGGACAATATCATATGTTCAGAGTTCTTGGAGATATATTAATTAATTTTCACTTTCAGTAAGTCCAACACATCATTTTGGGTTATCTCTGAGCTGGAATTAGCAAATTCCAATGTGTCCCTACAGATAAAAGCAGAGTAAACATTTGAATTTTAAGAAGTGTGCAGCTCTTACAAAAATCTTCACAGCTTTTTGCCTTCCTTTGTCCTCCATCTGCCTTCTTAACTTACTTGAGAGTAATCAATGATATTCTTCCCCTCTGAAAATGCCCTGGAGGTTACTTTAGGTCACTTTGTTTAAAAAAAAATAAATTTCCTTATTTTTAAAACAACATTTACTTTCTCTTTGATCTTTTTTTTTGCTGCTCAGTCAGCAAATGGCACTGACCAAAACATGCACAAGTCTTGGCTGACCCTTATTTTTGGGGAATTTCACCAGTTAAATGCTTACATACATTTATTTCTAGCCCTTTTATTTTTTATGTACTGAACCTGATTTCCCTCTGAAACCTCTTTATCCTGAAGCAGTAGAAATTAGTTAAACAGTGGAACTGCACTTAGCTTTCCAACAGTATAAATGAGACCAAAATCAAGACCTTGAGGAATAATCATGAGTATAAGAACAAGAACATACAGGATTTTGAGCTTTATTTGTGTGGCTGTTGGTTTTTTGGCTTTATTTGTATGGTTGTTTTGGAATTCTTTTGCTATGCAGAAAAAAATTCACACACACACACACACAAAATATAAAAAAAAAAAAAAAAAAGTGGTTTCAAACACTCCATTGGGATTAAGGTTTATAATTTTGCTACGGTAGCAGTCTGAATCTTTTAGCAAGATTCCCCTCTTCATTTTTGGGCACAATAGGAAGAAATTCCTGCTTATAACAATGAAAATTAAAATAAGAGAACAGAGCATTAATCACTATTAATGTGCTGTTATTCTAGCAGCGTGAAAGAAGTGGGAGCAAACTCCAGTGTGTGTGAAATCACTCTTTGGGAACAAACAGGAATGTTCTGTATTTGTTTGCATATTTATGCAGTGTATGTATTTTCCCAGAAGTCAGTCAGTAAAACGTTTTATGCTTTCTTCTTTAATTAAAGCAGAAGGTGATTATTGCAAGGCTGCATTAAAGTTCTCTCCCTCTGTTGTCACAGGAGGCTGGCTCGCTCCACGCTGCTGCTCATCCCCCTGTTTGGAATTCACTACACAGTGTTTGCTTTTTCGCCTGAAAATGTCAGTAAGAGGGAGAGACTGGTGTTTGAATTGGGACTGGGATCCTTCCAGGTGATTACCCAGCGAATTCTGGTTTTGTTAGAATGAAATCTCTATTTTATTTTGGTTTTTTAGATACTTTGCATGCACAGTTCTCAGAGTGTGTCCTTGTTCACTCATGTGGATGGTTTGTGTACTAGGATTTTGGGTTAGATTGGTTGATTGCCTGTTTTAACTCCTGCTATTTTGTGTTATTCCTTCAGGATTTAAATTACATTACATTAACTTTTTGCATACATTACATTACTTTTTGCATAAATTGCACTATTTTTTTCTCTCCCACTCTTCCAGGGTTTTGTTGTTGCTGTTCTATACTGTTTCTTGAATGGGGAGGTAAGTCTTTCAATATTTAAATTCCTCACCCATCTTCCTCATTTCATTTCCTTGTGGGAGTAACTGCTGTCCTAAACCTTCCCTCTAACTCATCACCTGCCATTCTCCCTGATACCTTAGGCTGAATCTCACAATTCTCAGCAAAAAAAAAAAAAAGGAAAGAATGTGTAGTGTCCTTATTAAACCAGAATGTTGGCCATGCCAGAGATGATGGCCCAGATTAACACTCCCTAACTGGGCTAGGGCTGTAGTGGTCTCCTTGGCAATGTCACCCCAGGTTCAGAATTTGGCACTGGTTTTGTGGAATTTGGCACTTGTTTCGTTAAACTTGGCGCTGTTCTTGCCAGCCCACTCTTCCAGCCTGTTCAGTTCTCTCCATAAGGTGACTCTTTCTTCTGACATGTCCAGTCACCACCCGGTTTGGTGTCATCAGGCAAACTGGTGAAGGTGTTTTCAACCCCATTGTTGAGACTGTTATGAAGATATTGAAGCGCTGGCACGGGTTGCCCAGAGAAACTGTGGCTGCCCCATCCCTGGAAGTGCTCACATCCAGGTCAGATGAGCAACCTGGGCTAGTGGAAGGTGTCCCTGCCCGTGGCAGGGGGTGGAATTGGTTGATCTTTAAGGTCCCTTTCAACCCAAACCATACCATGGTTCTATGTTGAACAGTGTGGGGTCCAGTATCAATCCCTGGAGGACCCCACTAGTGATAGGGTGCCAGACTGAGTGAAAAACCTTGTCCAACACCCTCTGAGTGTGGCCTCCTTCCCATCTTGCAGGACACCCACCCACTCCACATCTTGCCAGCTTGCCCAGGAGAAGGCTGGGGGAAACAGCATCAAACCCTTTGCTGAATTCCAAGTTTTCACAAGTCCTTGGCCTCTCTTGCTGGCACCACCCAAGTGTTGTCAGCTTCTTTTCTGAGACCTGCCACCTTCCAGCTGGTCCCTACACACACAGAGCCCAAGCTGTGCCAGAAGCCCCCTCAGACCCTCCCCAGATATCTTGCAAGCCTCACACTCCTCTCAGCACATGGCAACTGCTGCTGCTGCTGTCAGCTTCCCACACTAGTTATTTTTTTTTCTGATTCATCTGTTCTGATCTGCAGATTGAGATTCCTCTGCCTTTGTTTATCCAACTGAATACCCGAGGTTATTATTTTCTCAATTAACAAAAAAAGGTTCCCTCCTCAAAGCCACCTTAAGAGGGATATCTGGAGTTCATCCATTTTCTCCACCACTGATACACAACTCTTGTGCAGTCCAACAGGAGCCTTTCTCTAAAATCCCTAGAATCACCTTCTTTTCTTCTTGCCAAGGAGTCTGAGTGCAGTAGGTGTTCTGTGCTTGCTCATCTCTGGCCTGCAACAGCTCATTTCTAGTACAAAAGGTCTCAAACTCCTTGATCCAAGTGATTCCTTCTCAGATAACAACCTCCAAGCTCATCAAACAAACTCATAGGTCACTTTTACTTAGTCAGGGTGACTTTGAAAGGCCCCACAGGGCTGTGAAAGCATTATTCATAGCTCAGTCAGTCCCAAGTAGCTCTGGAGGGTGAGATCTGGATCAAGCCTTGTCGGAATTAATGGTCGTACTCAGACTTCACCACCTGGTGTTGTTGGATATCTAAATCTCCCACCTACAAGTGTTGTTGCATCCATTACCTTCCCTGAGTGCTAAAAGAACAGCCAAAAGGTCTTTTCTAAAACCAGCCTGGAGATAAACACCTTCCAAGATAACAAGCACAGTCTGTCAGATTTCTTGGAACCCCTCGGAAGGAGTAGGAGGGTTGTTGTTGGCCAAACCAACACAATTGGATTGATTAAAACCATTTTACCTCTCAAGACAGTAGAGAATGGTAATTAAAAAGTGTCTTGTGCCTCATTAAATTTCTTAGGGCAAGAAAGGATTCACCTTTGGTATAATAATTACACTGTTCAAGGTGCAAACACTATTTTCTATTTTATAGGGGTAATATAACTCCATACTCCATCTAATCTATAATTTATACATTAACCAAAATAGGAATTTAGAGTTACTAGAAGGAGAATGCAAGTTTTCCCGTTGGATTTTTCCTCCCTGTAGTTTTTGCCCATACAGTTAAAGCACTCATTTAGTATTTTGGCTTATGATGATCCATTTTGACACTTCTTTTAGTCCAGGAAAATCTAGTAATGACTGTTAGAACCAAGGAGAACATCTTTGTCACAGCAGCTCATTGAAGACAAGAAAAATATATTGGGAAAATCTCTCTACATATTTCCTTGTTCTTGCATTATTTCATTCAGAAATGTGCTACAGGCTCCTACCAGGAGTGAGCAACAGACCAAGTAAATGTTGGTCAAAGCTCTTATGATCTTTATTATGTTAAATCTTTCCTGTATATACTCACATGCTCACCCAGCAGGATTGCCAGGAAGTTGGTGATGAATGAAAAGTACAAAAGCTGTGGAATTATTTGCTTCTTCCCTAAGTGAACTTCTAACCACGGATAGTTTTACTCCTGGTGATTTACTGTGGGTGCCCATAAAATACTCTCAAGAAAAGGAGAGTGTCACAGATGTCTGTTAATCCCAGAGCTGGTGTGTGCTTTGAGGGGATCTGAAAGCAGGAGGCAAAGTTTTCCATGGACATCCATCCATGAATGGCAGGCACAAGACAGGCTGCCCACATGGACAGGCTGTTTCCCTACTGTCCAGTACCTTTTGTTTGCTGGTTTCTTTGGCTCCTTTTTATGTCTTTGATGAAAACAGGGTATTTTTTTCCTTCATGTTGGAGTTAGTGTTGAACAGGTCTTTGTTCTCAGCAGCTCTGGGCTGATCCTAAATTATCTGAAGCCAGAGACACAGAACCTGGGCTGTAATTCCCACTACATGGCTGGACCTCTTTCAGCTGTGGAGAAACCACTTCAGATTTTGCTGAAGCGAGGAGTTTAACAACAGCCTTAAAAATAGTTCTGTGGAATTGTGGGCTTTTTGCTAATCTTGATAATTTATCAGCATGTCCTCGAGCGGCGAAGTACATAAAAAATGACCTTTTGAAGTTTCTCCCTAAAGGTGCAATCAGAAATAAAGAGAAAATGGAGGAGCTGGAAAGTCAACCGGTATTTTGCTGTGGATTTCAAACACCGCCATCCTTCTCTAGCGAGCAGCGGAGTGAACGGGGGGACACAACTGTCCATTCTGAGCAAGAGCAGCTCTCAGATTCGGATGTCCAGCATAAATGCGGAGAACCTGGCCACATGAGCAGCTGAGGGAGCAAATCCATCGGGAGCAAACCAAAAACCACCCCTCGAAACAGAAAAAAAAAATGAAACAATAGTTTTGGTTGTGGTGGTGTAGGTCTCTCCTCCTTCTCCTTCTTTCTCCTTCTTTCTCCTTCTTTCTCCTTCTCCTTCTTTCTCCTTCTCTTTCTCCTTCTCCTTCTCCTTCTCCTTCTCCTTCTCCTTCTCCTTCTCCTTCTCCTTCTCCTTCTCCTTCTCCTTCTCCTTCTCCTTTCCTTTCCTTTCCTTTCCTTTCCTTTCCTTTCCTTTCCTTTCCTTTCCTTTCCTTTCCTTTCCTTTCCTTTCCTTTCCTTTCCTTTCCTTTCCTTTTCCTTTCCTTTCCTTTCCTTTCCTTTCCTTTCCTTTCCTTTCCTTTCCTTTCCTTTCCTTTCCTTTCCTTTCCTTTCCTTTCCTTTCCTTTCCTTTCCTTTCCTTTCCTTTCCTTTCCTTTCCTTTCCTTTCCTTTCCTTTCTTTTTTTCATTCTCCTCTCCTCTCCTCTCCTCTGGAGGTGGCAAAGCAAAGGAAATGTGTGTATATATCTTTTTAACAGTCACTGTAAATACCCAACTGTACTCAAGGCCATTAATGGGGAATGTTTAACAGACAAACAAGAGGCCAAACCCACCCACTCACCTGTTCCCATTTCAGAGCATCTGCAAGTGATCCGTGTCCGTCCAAAGTAACAAGTGGTTGCTGTGCAGTTGTGATCCTTGGTTGCCAAACTGATCCCAGTCTGTGAATGGACATGACCTTTGTCATTTTGCCACTTGGTTTTCTTTTTGGGTTGGATTTGCCTATTTTTTTTCCCCCCAGTCAAACATGCCCGAGCCTGTCCCTGTCTTTTGGCACGTGAATTTTTGCAGTGTTTCTCTTTTGAGTCTTAGGATGGAGCTGTTGTGCTTGGGTTAATCAAACCATTCAGGAGGATCTCCAGGAAATTAAGCTGGATTTAGTCAGACATTCCCAGTGGACTTAAAGGAACAGCTGTGCCAATGTGAAACTGCCTCTCACTGCAGGAACTTGAGGCAAGAGCAATGGGATCCTCTGTGTTTTTCTGTACCCAGGGACACTTCTGAGATTGTTTGTGTTCTAGCTAAGCTGTGAATTTTCTAAAAGGGCCCTGCAGTCGAGACATACCTATATTTTTTTGGCATTGAGTGACAGATCGATCATTTGGATTCTTTGAATTACAAAAATAACTGTCCCTTCCCTCCCACCTTAAGAGCAAAAGTCGGTTCCAGGGTGGTCTTTCCCTGCAGATGACCTTGGACCCTCTGCATCTGGGGCCAAACGTGACGTTGGTGTTTTGGGGTCATGCTGTTACACAGCCCGTGGTGCCTCTGCAACCTCTTGGACTTCTGTGTGTCGACTCTCCCCTACCAGAGGCACAAGAAGGATCTGGCACAACATCCTGGAAGGTAAAAATCATCTGCATTTGGTGATATCAATGAGCAACTCAACTGAACAATGGGATGGCGTGGAAGGAAAATGTAAGGACTTTGGAGGACTTCCCACACCTGGCAGTTTTGTCTCTTTCTGGACATTCTGTTTAAGCACCAATGGTCTTACTGCTTTTTTGGGGGAGGAACTAGAATGTTCTTTCAACCTTTGCCTTGTAGTTGAAGCCACGACTGGTACTTACCTACTTCAATCCAGTGTCAACGATGTCAATTCTTAAGAGTCTTTATACAGAGCAAAAAGGCTTTGAGGACCATCCTAATGCTCACTTCACTTTGGATTTATGAACTGATATATATATATATAATATATATATATGTGTGTTTATGTGCATATATTAAAGACAAAAATGGAAATGACACTTTAAATGTGAAGTTTTGAACTGAAACTAATAGTAACCAGGAAATTCAAAATTCAGGCTGGTTCTTTGGTGTTAGTTGACATGACCATAAACTAAAAAAAAAAAAAAAAAAGGGAAAGACTTGGAATTTTAGTGTCAGCTGAGTGTGAGCTTTTAATTTCACTGGTTTTGTTAGTTAAGTAAAAAAAAAAAGTTTTAATGTCATTTTAAGCAAAGGTTTTTAAAAATAATCCTAGTTTACTTATTTTTAAAAGGAGAAAAAAAAAAGGCCTCAGAAAGTTGTGGAAAGGAATATTAGTTGTAATAATCCTCAACACATGTAGTGCTTTATGGGGCATGATCTGCTCTCAACTGTAGCAGTTTAAATGAACGTAAAAAATAATTTGAAATAGAAATAATGACTGAGGTTATATTGGTACAGGATCATGCTCTTACGAGGTGGTTACACCCCTGTCATGTGAAATCTACCCTTGCACAGAGGACCAGTAAAGTGTTTAAACCACTTCCATTATACCCCAAGTTCTCAAGTGGAATTTACATGACCCAGACACCTTTTTTTTGCACATCTGCAGCACTGATTTGCTGCTCTGAGAGCAGAATTGGTCCCCTTCTTCCCAGCTCTCTGCAGAAGTCACTTGAGTGTTTTTAACTGATGGATTGGCCCTTCCTCTCTCATTAGATGCTTCCAAAAAGCTATTTGAGAAAGTTTCCCCTGCACTTGGCAGCCTGGACATTTTTGAAATCTAATGTTAAATGACCGGATACCACCAGGTTTGTGTTTTCTGCAGTTTGGGCTTTCACAAGTATTATATTGACAATATTGTAAATGTATTATTTAAAAAAAGAAATCAAAAGTTATATTTTGCATGAAAGACTAGTAGCCAGTTTTCAAGCATTAATAAATTAGAATTTTGAGATAAAAGCTGGAGACTTTTTGCCATGTTTCAGTTCAGAGCAAGAAGGAGTTTGGATCTTTATTTTTTCATGTATTTTTGGTGGTGTTGTTGAAGCTTTTCCCAAGTTTATTTCTGGATTTTGTTGTTTCCCTGGCTGTCCTACAGTGCTCTGAAATTTTAGCTGGTGGATCTCAGTCCAGTGCCTCGTGGGCAAATGTCCACATCACCAAAACCACCCTCGAATCCTGCACACTGGAGACCAGGCCCTCAGCTAAATTCAAATCAGTACAGAAAACTGTTATTGTTGTTGTTGTTGTTGTTAGAACAAACCCACTTCACTTAGGATTGGGATTTGGCCTCAGCACATTGTTATTACTATTTATTTTTGGTGGTCTCAGCAAGAGAATCCAAGGGTAGAATAGTCATGAAAACGTGGCCCTTAATTCCTGGAGCCAATGCTCAGAAGCAAGACAAGTTGGAGAGCAGTGGAGGGGAAATTTCTGCTGTTGCAGACCCTGTGTTTCTTGCTCAAATTGAAGTCTTTGATACCATTCACCAGCACTGAATTTCCTAGAGGAGAAGGTGCCTCTCGACATATTAAATGTACAATATCTCATACAAACCACCCCCTTCTCTCGTGATTTGACTCATCTGAAGTGTTGCTGCACTTTGCAGATATGGCTTTCCCTGGTCACCTGAACTTTCTCAGTGTTGCTGGAAAGATCATGTTTGAGGTGTAAATAGTTATTGCAACCAGGCTCTGGTGCCCTGGCCCAAATTAGCCCTCAAGAAACCCTCTCTGTTGAATGTAAGCTGCAGATGCTGCCCAGGCAAGGCCACCACTCCCAGTGGCTGTTTGTTCCCATTTGTTCCAGGAGGGAAGAAGCCCACAGGTGGTTTGCTTCCAGGTGTGTGTAAATATCAGCTGAGTGTAACAGTGCTTTGTTTGATTTTTTCACTGTGAAATATATTTTGGAGCAAGAAAGGCTGTGCTCTGAAAAACAAAACACAATTAAAATTGAAACAAGTGTGCAGTGCTCCTTGAGCCATTTTTTTTCTACCGTGTCCATAATGTTTTTCCTGTCTAATTTTCTTATTTTGCTTTTATAAGTGTACAAAAACTTTCTGTGCTGCAGCTTTTGTGACTATTTACTGTATCTAACCACTGTTTGATTATTGACTTGTCAGTGTGAAGTGCTGGTACTACAGGACAATTAACATCCCAAAATGAACACTACAAACTGTAATTGTAAAGGACAAGGCTTGTCTCTTTGCTGCATGGTGACCTCACCTCCTTTACCTTCGCCTCCATTTAGCATATCTGGAACTCAGAGCCCAGGTAAAAAACTGAAATGCTTAGCTATGGGAATTTTTGTTTCATAGAGGAAAAGTACCCAAGTTCCTCTGCATCAGTTAAGTATTTGCATTTGACAGCCAGGTGTTAAAAATGGGTGGTGGGAGAAGGGACAGAGATGAAGGCAGGGGAGTCCAGAGTAAAATGCAATAGAGGTGCAGTTTGGAAGTTAAATTCAGACACTATATTTGATGTCTGGCTCCTCCTTTTCAGCATCTGCCTCTCATTGCAACTAAAAGACTGTACCTTGCAACTGCAAGGCCAAACAGCCACCAGAATTGGGCATGACCTGCCTCTGCTGGTGGTTTGACATCACATTTGCAAAGGTGACTCTCCACAGACTCTCTCCATCACCAATGGCAAGTGGGAGATACCTTCCAGAAGGGAATGCAGAGCAGTTCATGGAACCAACAACCAAGGCTGGAAGTTGAATGACCATCTGGTCCAACCTTTGTGAGAAAGGGAGCTTAGTGAGGTTATTCAGCATCCTGTCCAGTCACCTCTTGGAAACCACCAATGCCACATCCCTGGGAGGTTGTTCCCATGAATGGCTGTTCCTATTCTAAAAAATTCTTTTCTTATATCAAAATGAAACCTCTCCTGGTGCAGCTTGTACTTGTTCCTCTTGTATTTTCCATGTGGATCCTTGTGAAGAAAGAACTTTACCCTCTTTGTAGCCACCCTTTTGGGACTGGAACAGTGTGATGAGGTTCCTGCTGAGCCTTCTCCTTCAGTCTTTCTTCACTGATCATCTCTTTGTCCATCCCTTTGACCACCTTCATGGTCCTCCTTTGGACCTTCTCCAGTCTGGCCACCTCTTTCTTGAACTGTGAGGACCAGAGTGGGACACGATATAGAATTTCTTAGAGTCCTGCTGGAAACCTGACCTGGCAGAATCTGCTCCTTTTCCAGCAGGGACAGAAGGATTAGTTGCCATAGTTTGCCTTGACAGTGTCATTTTTGCAAAACTGTGGCTTTTCACAGTATTTTCATGTCCATGGTGGACGAAGTTCTGCTTCTGAATAGCGTGAAAGCTTCTGGTTATATCAAAGATTCAGGGGGTGTTTTCCT